AAGTTTTGTGTGATATAGTTATAATCTATGACGCTGTGGATCATTATGTTTTAAATCTCAATATTCATCTAAAACAATTTAATAAGAACAAAAACGAGTCTGTTGAATTCTGCGTTAGAAAACTGAACAATGGGAGCTGACGTCACCGCAAACATCAACACAACAAAGATGAGAAAAACAACTTGAGCAAGCAGCATTTTTTTCCTTCATTCCTACCAAAATGGCTACATGGCACTGCTGAATCCTACGCGATAAAAAAAAAAAACATAAAAATTGGAGAACAAAGTAAGTACAGAGCAGTGGGCATGTGCTGGTGGTGGTGAAAATAGGGGTTGATCATAAAAAATGGCATCTTGAAAATGACAAAATTTAGTAAATTAAAGATTGCTCAAACATGCACAAATCACTCCAAAACACAACTTTGCGAGAGTAAATGGGAAGAGGAAACAACTGTAACATGGTTAAAAGCTCTAAAAGTCTATTTTAGGAAATGGATCTGCTTTAAAGCGGAGAAATCCTTGTTTGAGTTTTCAATCGTTTTAAATTTGATTACTTTCATTTTCTTTTTGCAGCCTTGAAGACCATATTCAATACACTTAATATTCTAATGCATACATTCCAAACAAATTCCAAATATTATCGGTAAAGTTAATATCAGATTATCAGGCCCAGTCCAGATCAGGTATCGGTTCAAGAGTATCGTTTCAGGGTTAGACCAATAAATGTAGAATGTCTTATGACGCATTTAGTAACTAGTCATTATCTGTGAATGTAAGTTAGGCCTACTTGATGACTAAACCTTTGTTATAAGTTGGTTTCATTGTTTTATATCAGGTATCAACAGATAACATCTTTATATCTGAACTGAAAATGGTTGACTAATGAATGCTACAAGATAAACATAGACATTACAAAAAGACTAGAAAGCTGTGCTGGCTTGAAAGTGCCCTGAGTAACTTTTCTGGCTGCTTGTTTCCATGGAAATGTTATTGCTTTGCTTGGAATGTACCATATTAAGACATTCAACATATCCATCTAGCATTTATTCATTACAAGGGTTTCTGTTGCTCAAAAATACAACAATTCCTTCGGCGAGTAGAGGCGACTCTCCACAGATCTTAACGGTAACGTAGCGTAGTGCTGTAACCTGCTCGTCTCCCTCGTGATAGCTGGGTTTAATCTACTAGTGTACTGCTGAACATTCTAGACAAGCAATTGAATTTCCACAGAGACACCAGAAAAGTTGAGTTTAGTTCAATTGCTCTTCTTTCTTCATACATTCTTCAGAAATACCTCAACAAAGAGGTAGCATAGAAAAATAGTAGCCTTATTATCACCGTTTTATTCACTCACACAATTTTTCACAATATTTCAGGTGGTGCAGAGTGTAAAAGGAAGAAAAGGATAAAAATAAAAGTGTAAAATTACAAGTTCTTACTGTAACCAACACTGCTAATACTACTACTGCTACTATTTCTGCTACTAATACAATGGACCGCAAATACAAGGATAATGCACTGATATGATTTTCAGTCCAGAAGGTAAGCCTCAAAAAATTTTACTTCTCATTTAATTTAATCTTTCAAAAACATCGCAAGAGTACCATATTATAGTCATGCTGTTCATTTATCTCTGCAATTTTACAATGTATTAGATGTTAGATTCAACATTTTACCTTTATTACTCTGTTTTCTTTTCTGTTATAATGTTGTTTTCTCATCACAAACATACCTGGAGTTGTGTTTTGTTTTGTCCACACACATTTAACACATAAATCCTGCATATTTAGGCTGAGCTCTTCTCTCAAACAGAAAAAAAATCCCTTTGTTCCACCTTGTAACGTCTTTTGCAGATTTAGACAGAGTAATAACAAAGGATTACTCAAACATGTGTAAAAGAAACAAGACACAAGTCCAGGTATGTTTTGGAGGAGGTAACAGCATTATAACATGGCTTAAAGCTCACAAAACTAAAACCAGGTCTAAACCAGGACTAAAACCAGGTCGAAACTAGATCTAAACCAGGACTAAACCAGGACTAAAATCAGGACTAAACCAGGGCTAAAACCAGGTCTAAACTAGATCTAAACCAGGACTAAAACCAGGTGTAAACCAGGACTAAACCAGGACTAAAACCAGGACTAAAACCAGGACTAAAACCAGGTGTAAACCAGGACTAAACCAGGACTAAAACCAGGACTAAAACCAGGTCTAAACCAGGACTAAACCAGGACTAAAACCAGGACTAAAACCAGGTCTAAACCAGGGCTAAAACCAGGTCTAAACTAGGTCTAAACTAGGTCTAAACTAGATCTAAACCAGGACTAAAACCAGGTCTAAACCAGGACTAAACCAGGACTAAAACCAGGACTAAAACCAGGTCTAAACCAGGACTAAAACCAGGTCTAAACCAGGACTAAAACCAGGTCTAAACCAGGTCTAAACCAGGACTAAAACCAGGTCTAAAACCAGGTCTAAAACCAGGTCTAAAACCAGGTCTAAACCAGGGCTAAAACCAGGTCTAAAACCAGGTCTAAAACCAGGACTAAAACCAGGTCTAAAACCAGGTCTAAAACCAGGTCTAAACCAGGTCTAAACCAGGGCTAAAACAGGATTTAACAGGACGAAACCATTCTATCGATAATATTTTTAATACGGTTAAGGAAAGACTGGGCTTACTTTACGTGAAGATATCCGAGTCTTTGCTCCTCTACAGAAAATCAAGTAATCCAAAGTATTCAGATTACGTTACTCACTTTAAGGAATTGAATGGATTACGTTACAGACTACATTTTGGGGTATGTAATCTGTAATCTGTAGGGGAATACATTTTAAAAGTAACACTGAGTATAGGACCTTTAAAGGGTTGTGAAAAGCTCTTATAAACTCAACCTGGTGAATAATTAAGATGCTCAGAATACATAAAGTAAGTGTGGAATAACTTCAGACCACTGCAAACATTTTAAAGACTGTTCAAATCTGCTTTAAAGCCCAAGAACGTAAAGAAAGTAACACTAAACCTGATGTATGGACAGTCATTAACGTTAAAAGCACACACCCATTTCATAAAACAACATTATCAATCATGTACCTCTAATCCCACTTATATTTGATCAGAACATTACTTATAACTCATTTGGTTCTATGATTCTGGCTAATGCTTTCTATGTAACACCAACCAGCAAAAGGCTCGCTGGGACCAGATTGTGTTTCAGTGAGGATGCAGTTTTCCATAACAACTCTGCAGAGCTCCGGGGCAGGTAGCTTTGTAATGTAAACCACCACGGTGATTAAACCTGCTCAAAATCAAAACACCTTATGGACGTGAGTATTAAAAGTCTGTTAAACAACTCTGACACAAACCTGAACAGACTGGATGAAGCGAATTTACTTTTATGGCTTAGAAAGAAGTTTGGAGTTTGAGAATGAAGAGTTTTTGTGTTAAATAGTCCAGGAGGGACAAGGATTGTGTTGTTTAAAGGTGCACTAAGTAACTTTTAGGTTGGAGGTCCGTCACCTGCTTGTTACTGTGGAGAGGTCACTGCTCTGTCTGAAATGTTCCACCGTATGACATTAAGCAGCTCTATCTTACATTTATTCAATTACAGGTGGTTTTATAACTAAAAAATACCAACAAAAACAGGCATTCTGACTGTGAGCGGGCTTGCCTCTTCACAGATCTGACCTGTAACTTGGTCTGGTTTGGTTTCCATGAAGATAGAAAGGTTTAACGCCATACTGTGAAACATTCCAGACAAAGCAATAACATCTCCATGGAGAAAAGCATTTGACGGAGCCTCCACCAGAAAAGCTACACAATGCACCTTTAAGATGACATTTATGGCTTTTCCTATTATTATATTGCTGAGTAGTTGCCGACCTTATTCTCTCAAAGACGCCCATTTTACAAGTTGATTCATTATTACCAGAAAAACATTTAAGAAAAAAGGTTTTATGCAGTTTCAATGATTCCTAAAGATATTACAACCACAATCAATATTTAAAATGCTTTCCACTTATTATAATGATTTTCCTCTTTGTGGTTATCTGTAATTTCCCCATTGTGGAACAAATAAAGATTCATCTTTTTTTATTCATGTTATCTTCTCATTTTAGCAAGCTATTTTGGACCTCTTGTGTGAATGAAGCTTTTAGAACCCCAAGTTTGGTCCCCAGCCCCTTGGTTTGGAATCACAGGCCCAGCCAAAGTAGAACGGCTATAAATCTTTTGCACTATTTCTCGGCCTGTCACAATAATCACTATATCAACTTATCATTCAATACGTGATAGATGGAACAATATATTTCTGGGGTCAGTATTTATTCTGTGTGCATTTCCTTTGTACTACTGGGAAATTTTCTGGGCTTTTCTGGCCACAAAATGAGATTTGAGTCATAGAAAGATGAATTAATAACTTCTATGACTTATTACAGATGCAAACTTAGTATTAAGTGTTTCATTCTGCTATTTATTTATTGCAGCTCATGATATTTTTTTTTACACTATATTTAGATTTAGAATAATTTTTGTCCAGATCTGCTTTAGTTTCAGTATTATCATATATTATCTGTATTTACTCCAGCAAAATATGAAACTTTAACTTAAACTTTTTGTTATTGTGATTGCCTTTCAGTATAATAGTACAAATAAATTACTTTTTATTTACTTTCCTTGAATAGTGCCGATGACATCTTTTGACTGCTTTTTGTGTCTACATTATGAGCATTTTCTTCAGAGGAACAATATCATTACCAAAATCATTTTCAACTGTGGAACTTAAGTTAGAAGTTTATTCCCCGCAGGAGACTATAGAGACTTCCATCTACCCCCTTTTCAAACCATGGATGTTTGTATCTGTTTCTGTACTGTTAAGATGTTAAATAAATGTCCCAACTAACTTTTCTTACCTGTTCGAGATGCATTTTTTTCAGTGTAACAATAATAATATTTTTCAGCTGGGGACCTTTATTTCTACAGGATAGTACAGAGTTTTGTCTTACCTGTTCGAGATGCCAGGTGGAGTCGATGCGTGGTTTGACCTTGCCCTGCTTGTACAGATCCAGGAGGGTGTTCATGGTCTGGGAGATGAGCTCCGTCTCTCCGTCCAGGTAGCCCAGGTGGTACCCGCACACAGACTTGTTGCCCTGGATCAGACTCAGCGTGTGGATGGAGAACTGATGGTACCAGTTCTTCGCCACCGCAATCAGGTTCTTCTTCTGCCCCGCCAACATGTTAGCCGCACCTGCAGAGTCAATGAAAAGGCTGAAGGTTATGACAAGTTTGTCTACTCATTTTGGTAAAACATCATTATATATAACCTTTTTTGATTTTGAATTTGGTTAAGTTTATCATTTTACTTCCTAATTGGACACAAATTCTGCATATTTAGACTGTTCTTCTCAAACAGAAAACACTCTGTTCCACCTTGTGATGTCATGTGGTAATACAGGAAGTGCTCCACTGTGTTTTTAAACTCCATACACCTTCACTAGAATAATTTGGATGATTTCAGCCCTGGAATTGCAGATTTTTACTGAACAAAAGTTAAATGGTAGCTGTTAACTTGCAAAACTACCACTACATGACATCACAAGTTGGAACAGAGCATTTTGATGTTTGGAGACCGTAAAAAATGGTTACTCAAACATGTGTGAATGAAAAAAAAAACAACTCCAGGTGTTTTTGAGGAGGTAACTGCATTACAACGTGGCCCAAGTCTCACATGAGATAATATAAGAACCTTAAGGTGTATTTATAGGACCATTTAAACTTTATATTTTACCCATCCCTCAATACTTTTGGGTGAACCTGTCAGGATCCATTTCTAGATCTGGAGCTAAACTTGGTCAGGTCTAACTTAGCTGAAGAAATTTGCCTATTGTGCAGGTTAAGGTCATCACTTGAAAGCTAACAAGCTGACAGGTACAAAGAATAGCTTTTAAAATGTCTCCCTTCCTTTCGTCTGTACGGGTGGTCAAACTAAAAACAAACTTTGTAATGTGATGGAGGTTAAAAGTTCACAGTAATTCCACGAATATTAGTCAAATGTGTTTCTTTGAAAATGGTCCAAAAAAGGTTCATTAGGTCCTCCATAAATTTGGCTTAAGAGATTTATTTTTGAATCAATCTACAGTTTATTTTTGTAGCACACATGTTTAAACAACTCACTTTCATCTTTGATAAAATTATAGACATTGCCAATGAGACAACCTTTTAAGCAACATCTTGTCTTAAAATTGTTCCACATATTACACAAAATGTACTCTTGTGAGCTTTAAACCATGTTAGAATGTTATTACCTTCTCAAAAACATACCTGGAGTTGTGTTTCATTTGCACATGTTTAAGTAATCCTTTATTAGTCTGTCTAGATCTCCAGACTGCAAAATGATCTGTTCCACCTTATGATGTCATGTACTGGTAGTTTTCAAGTTAACAGCTTTTGTTTAGTAGACATTGGCAAATCCAGGGCTGAAATTATCCAAATGATGAAGGTGTATCTTAAAAATACAGTGCAGCACTTCCTGTATTATGACCATAGACTGTATATATAAAATGTACAAAGCAGACGTGCTAGCCGCCACATTCCAAATGGGAAGTTCTCATGCGGCTGTTCCGGATCATACTGACCCTGGCTCCCATTGACCTACATTAGAATATCGTGGCCCCTCTCTATGAAACTACTGTTGTGAGCCTCGCCATTTTGGCCTTAAAATGTTAGTATTACCTCACTTTACAAGATCCTGATGTTTTGGGTTTTTTTCTTCACTATTTTGTCCATCAAAAAAATAAAAATAAAAAATCCTAAAGCCTGGCTCCTGTAACCCTGAGCATCGCGAGGTTCCTTTGAGTGGAGCCAAACACTATGGATAATGTTACACTTGCTTTGTCCACTTTATTATTCAATCAATGACATCACAAGGTGGAACAGAATTATAATATTTTGGTTGTCAATAAGACCTTTAAGAAAATTAACTGCATGGAAAAGTGTTGCTGGATAACACAGTAACATCTCTTTAATTAAAAAAAAAAAAGATATAAAATTTTGCCCTGGTTGAATACAATACACACTAATACACTTCTTTGACTTCTGTGATTAGGTTAAATGATTACAGAAGAGCATTTAATTGTTCCTTTGATATACACATGAGATAAATAAATACCCTGTACTTTCATATTTTTAGCCTTCATATAACAGTTATGCAAATCGATCTGTACAGGGTTATATTCATTTGAGCTTTCTTCTTTCATTCTCTCACCTCCAGATCACACCTAAGCCCTCTTTAGCACCTCTGCTCTTTCTGTCACCACATACATGCTCCCTTCTGCTTCTCGCTCAGACATATTACACCCTCTACTCTGGTATTTGGTCTCCAGCCATGCAACTAAAACAAAACTACCACTAATACTACTACCATCAAAGACTATATGATTTTTAGTTAAAGGTTTTGACACAGGAAATGGTCTGGGACTGGGTATATAAAACTTAACAATATGTTTATTGTAAGAAGGTGAGCAGTGCTACACTTTAAGCACATACACTTTTTATACAATTGCGCCTCATTCTTGGACACCATACTTCAACTCCTACCTAACTGTAATCTTACTTGAGTGAAAGTTTTGGTTACTCCTCCCACTGTCAGTTAGTCTATAAGTACCAACATCATTATTTTAACATTGGCAATATTAAATGATTTGAACGTTTAATTTTCTTGCCTGTCTTAGTTTTTTCAAATTTTTGTGGTCAATTGATCCTTTACAATATTTCATAATAAATGTTTACTCCAGTTACATATGGGTTTTTCCGATTACTTTACAATGTTAACGTATCCTGTTAGTTCAAAAGTCATAGTGACAAGTACAATATTTACTGCCACAATCATTACTTTTACTACAACCACTACTTAAAAGTATGTCTGCTATTACAATTTTCATCATTACCCATACAGCTACCCTCTTGTATCCCCTCCAACTTTCTGTAGCAATTACTACTACAACTACTACTACAACTGCTACTACAACAACACTAACTACTACTACTACTAAACAACAACTACTACTACAACACTACTACAACTACTACAACAACAAACTACTACTACTACAACAACAACACTACTACTAACAACAACTACTACTACTACAACAACAACTACTACAACAACAACAACTACTACTACTACAACTGCTACTACAACAACAACTACTACAACAAACTACTACAACAACAACAACTACTACAACTACTACTACAACAATAACTGCTACAACTACTGCAACTACAACAACACTACAACTGCTACTACAACAACAACAACAACAACTGCTACAACAACAACAACAACTACTACTACTACAACTGCTACTACAACAACAACTACTACAACTGCTAACAACAACAACAACAACTACTACTACTACAACTGCTACTAACAACAACACTACTACTACAACTGCTACTACAACAACAACAACAACAACAACTGCTACAACACAACAACAACTACAACTAACAACTACTACAACTACTACTACAACTGCTACTACAACAACTGCTACAACTACTGCAACTTCTACAACAACAACTACTACTACTGCTACTACTACAACTACTACAACTACAACAACAACAGCTACAAATACTACAACAACAACAGCTACAAATACTACAACAACAACAACAACAACAAATACTACAACAACAACAACTACAACTACTACAACTACTACAACTACAACTACTACTACTACAATTATTACTAGTACAACTCCTCCTGCCCCCTTTCTCCCATCTCACTGGGGGCAAAAGAGGACACAGGGCCTGAACTCAGCCTCGCTACATACAGAATACAGAGACACATTCCTGGTACTGCTTCATAGGACTCCCATTGTTCACCACGCATACTTGTGATAAGCTGGAAGAGGAGTGAGAGGAAGAGAGGAGGTCCTGGGACAGTACAGAAGGCTGGAGGGGTGAATGGGGGGGGGCTCGAGGAGGGGGTCTTGGGAGCTAAATGCAGAGTATAGGCCCTGTTCATGGAGATGCCAGCCGTGCCCACTGTAGCGTGAATACTCCTCTGAGATTCGCATGGCAACAAGAGGGGGGCTAAGAGCTTCCTACGGACAGCGAGCAATTTGAGGTCACACAGCCCACCAAGAAGCTCATCCATTTTGTCTTGTAGTCACATATGGGTAGACTAGCCAAAAATTGCATCTACATTTATAATCAGTGTTGGGAAATGACTAAAATCATGTATATTTGGTTCAGTTACTTTTCCTTTGGTGGATACTTTTCAAAAATCAAAATTTGAACATGTAATTTAGGCTTCAAACTCCACAGAATCAGAGAGAAAATTGAAAACTCCATTCTTGTGGTGAGGCATATGTGATTGTTCTTTTTCCAATTAGTGAGAGAAAATGTTTCTCAAACTATGAAACAAATTTAAAAGTTTTTTTTTTGATGATATGTTGCATCTTAACACTATAATTTAAATGCAACTCGATGTAAAAGTATTCCAAGTATTCAGAATAGAGTACTCTGATAGGTTCACATATCAGAATAATGTTACGATATACATTTCAATGCAGGTGTTCAGTATTCTGGAACTAAATACATTTTCTATTATTATTATTCTTCCCATCGTTGTTTATACTGTGCAGGCAATGTGGAGCTATGGGCCATTTAAAGAACATTCTCTGAGGTCCAGTGAATTGAAACTGTAAAAATGCCAAACTTATAATAAACACTGACTTGGACCCAAACTTACAGGCTTAGTTTTGCTACATGTTTTTTGGAGAATCAGTTTGGAGAAAGCCAATATTTGGAAATGGCCTGAAGCTGTTCATAACAAGTGCCACAAATATTTCCATAATAGAGATGGCCTTTAAATTTGTTTCAGTAATTCATGTAGTTTGTGGTTGGATAAAACCATTTGACGCATACCGTTTTCCTCTAAAATCCCATAAAACATTCAAAGTCACGATGGCGACTTGGGTGTCATTTTCTAGACCCAACACAGCGAAGTGGATCAGTCTGTTTTTAAAGTTTAAAAGTTATCTCATCTCTTAAATTGGCCCATGTTATGCTATTTTCTGATCTATGTTATAATGTTGTTTCATTATGTACACACCTGGAGTTTGGAGTGTTTTGTGTCACATATTTAACACTCAAATCCTGCATATTTAGGCTGAGTTCTTCACTGAAACAGAAAGCACTCAGTTTCACCTTGGGATGTCATATGATAATACAGAATGTGCTCCACTGTGTTTTTAACTCAATACTCCTTCCACCAGAATCATTTGGGTAATTTCAGACCTGGAATTGCCAATCTCTACAGAACTAAAGTAAAAAATAAAAATAAAAAAAAAGGGGTAAAAGGTAGCTCTGAATTTGGAAACTGAAAACTACCACTGTGTGACATCACAAGGTGGAACAGAGCATTTTGTGCTATATGTGTTCTTTGTTAATTTGGGATGGTAGAAAAAAGGGGTGGGGTTAAATAAGTATTTACTTCCTCTCACTCCTTTTTCGGACACAAGGAAAATTCGGCGTAACATTTATTTTGCCTGTTTTTATAGAATAGAAATAGTTACTTTTTGTGTTATATTTATGTATTTACGCTTTTTATTTATGTTCTATGTATTACTGTCCGAATAAACATTCATTCATTATAACAGGGCTTAAAGCTCAAGAATCATATTGCCTATAGAATCTTATGTCCTATGAAAACCAAAGCATTTTAAAAGTATTGCAGGGTTTCAAACCACATCACAACATTATATAGTCCAATAATATTTGATACCAATAATACTGATGGGGACAGCACTAAAATGAATATTGTTAAAATGCTGATTTCTGTGGTTATACACCAACTTAAAGGGTCCAGTCACTAATAAAAATAATGTGTGAATTTGCCTTTTGGATATTTCATAGTAAAGTACAATGTAATGAAAATCTGAAAGCCACATTGTTAGAACTAGAACTATTAAACTTGACCTGCAGGACTTACCGTAGGTGATGAGCTTGCCCATTGGCTTGAGCAGGTTGTAGCCCTTGTGGGTGTCTGATCCTCCGAGTGGATCCAGGACAATATCACACCCTGAAAAAGCAGAGACACTTTGTTATCATCATTTTTTTTTTTTATCAGTGCTACAAACTCACAACAGAAGAGCAGCCAAGTCCTACCACCTCCCCTCTCACAGCACAGATCACTCACACTACGATGAACCCAAGTACTACCATGCACTGCAAAATAAATGACTAAACAGTAAAATGGTCATATTTTTATATAATGTTTTTCCACCTTTAAGTCACTGAAAGCACTGAGAGGGAGGTGGGTGTATTTTGTCCAAGGACAGAATGACAGCATTAATCTGTGGGAGCTGGAATTGCACGCCAACCTGAGGGTCAGTGGCCAATGATGGGCTGATGTTTATGTTGAAAGCAGGATTTGACTTGTAAAACATTATGGAGGATATTGTAACAGCAGCACTTTGTTACTTCCAAGTTTGCATCAAAAAAACACTTTTTACCAGCTTGATTTTGTCACAATTAAGCGTTGCTAAAATCAACTCGAGCATTGACGGTTCACCCCTGCTTTACGCCGTAGTCTGAAAAAGCTGTAAAATTAATTCAGAATATTAACTTTGTATTTACGGTTGATTTGTGAGCATACAAATCTAGTGTTCTTTATGTAAGGAATTACTGGAAAGGTGTCAAGCAAAATTGGCAGCCAGTGTTCACAAATGGAGCATAATAATTGCCTTTTAAATCCAGAATGACGTGGCATTGATTTTGCTGAAATCCACCATGTTTTTCAGTCTTTTGTGATGTATTTTTTTCTTTTCTTTTTTCTGTTATATGTGTCCCTGATGGGCTAATCCACCTGTCAATGTCATGTCCAAGTGAAAACAGTGAGATTCACCAGTGACCAGACTCACATTAAGTATTGACATAACACACAAAACACTGCATATTTAGGCTTAGTTCTTCTCTCAAACAGAAAACACCGTTCCACCTTGTGATGTCATGTGATAATAGACGAAATGCTCCACTGTATTTTAAACCCCATACACCTTCACTAGAATCATTTTTATTAAACTAAAGGTAAACGGTAGCTGTTAACTTGAAAACTACAGCTTCATGACATCACAAAGTCGAACAGAACATTTTGAGCTTTGGAAATGTAGATAGTTTAATAATGCAGAATTACTCAAATGTATGAATGAAACAAAACACAACTTTGGGCATGTTTTAAATTAGATAACTGCATTATAACTTGTCTTAAAGCTCACAAGGGTAATTTTTGTGCAATATAGGCATTTTAATATATGTTTAAAAAAGGAAAAGAAAACATCCAGTGAAGCAGAGAGTAAAAACAGGGCCCTCAAACTAAATCAAATATTCAGAATCTGGATTAATTTCAAACTAATAAATATCTCTTTCCAGTGCGTTGTTTGTAAGAGAAGAGCAGAGGGAATGAAATCTCTCTTGTTTTATGTTTTGCTCTTGTCACTGATAAGTCCTGAGGGATAAAACACTTTTCCAAATGTTTATCCAGGCCCTAAATGGAAAAGATCACGAGCCAAAGAGACATCAGCGCTACAGGTTTCACTATGTCTGCCGCGCTGACTCTCTAGGTCACTCCAAGAAGATTCTTCATACAAATATTTTAAAGATATTTTATCATGTTAGTTTGTTTTTCACTTCATTAGTCATTGGCAGTGGGAGAGAGTTTTCATTACCTCTTATAAACTTCTGTAAGATTGAACATTGGGCAGTGCTCTATGTTGTATATTATGCTGTAAAATAAACCATGAATGAAACTGGAGAAATACATTTACAATAATGGTAAGACGTGACTGAAGAATCCAATCGGGGTGGATGACAGTCGTAATGTGTGTTCACACTGGTTTAGTCCCGGTTTAGTCTCGGTTTAGTCTCGGTTTAGTCTCGGTTTAGTCCCGGTTTAGTCTCGGTTTAGTCCCGGTTTAGTCCCGGTTTAGTCCCGGTTTAGTCTTGGTTTAGTCCCGGTTTAGTCCCGGTTGAGCTTTATTGTAGTCCTAGGTTAATTCTGGGTTAACGCTGGGTTAGTCCTGTTTTGGTTTTTCCCAGTTCTGGTTTAGCCTTGACCTAGTCCTGGTTTAGTCCCATTTTGCTGTACTTTGAGCGCAACCTTAATCAGTGGTTTAGTCCTGGTTTAGTTTTATTCTAGTTCTGGTTTTGTCCTGGTCTAGCATTGATCTTGTTTAACTCTGGTTTAACTCTGGTTTAACTCTGGTTTAACTCTGGTTTAACTCTGGTTTAACTCTGGTTTAACTCTGGTTTAACTCTGGTTTAGTCCCAATTTTGCAGTAGGATGTGTGCAAACTTAATCAATGTAGAAGTAAAAATACAAATAGGCAGTAGACAGATGACAACAGAAGTCTCTTTTTTATCACAGTAAACTCTTACTGAGATTTCAGCAGTTTGTCTCTCATAGGGCTCACTTTAAAACCGCATTCTTTTTTACGTTCCTTGACGTGAGAACCCAGTTCATTACAGGCCAATGTATAGCTCCTAAACTACTCCAGACTTGTGCCAGACATTTTAAATTGGACTCCCCCCTCCTCACTTCTCCCTGTTAAACCCAGTATCTATTGATCTACGAGTCTCCCAGCACGACTCCGCCTTGACCCTCTACACAGGCACAGACAAAAACCCAAAGTTGGAGAAGCAAAGGTGGCTACGCATTGATCCTAAGACCCAATTAGATCGAGTCTCTTCTGCGTGTCAAATCCTTCTAACTTCCTGTCTGTATCTTATTGAAAACACTACGCACTGACCCTCCAGCATAATGGGGCTTCTTTCTTTTGGCTGGTGAGGGGCACAGCAGTGGGCATTTGTGGAAAAAAACAGGAAACGGATGCGTAATTTAGTTTGGAAAAAAAAAGAACTTTATCTATAGAAGACGCCAGTTAAACTTTATTAATAGCGATAAAGGGGCTATGGACTGTGGATTTGTAGTCTCTGGGAAATTACTCAACTACACGCTGACAGTCTGCTCCATGCCAGACCAATCTGCTGAGAACTGTGTCAAGAGGAAAGACGAAAACTGAAGTTCAATGAGAATGAAGGAGTGAGAAGAATAATAGAATGTACTTGCTTGTTCACTTGTTAAAGAAGGGAGTATTATGCTATTTTCTGATCTCTGTTATAATGTTGTTTCCTCATCAAAAACATACCTGGAGTTATATAGAGTTTGTTTCATTCACACATTTAACACACAAAAAAATCATCGGAAAACACTGATCCACCTTGTGATGTCATGTGGAAGGAAGTGCTCCACTGAGTTATGTTCACATACCTTCACTAGAATCATTTGTATCATTTCAGCACTGGAATTGCAAATCTCTACTGAGCTAAAGATAAAAGGTAACTGTTAATTTGAAAACTGCAGCTTCATGACATCACAAGGTGGAACAGAGCATTTTGAGCATTGGAGGTATAGACAGCCAAACGTGTGAAAGAAACAAAACACAACTGTGGGTATGGTTTTTATGACAACATAATATTTTCTAACATGGCTAAGAGCTCACAATAGCCAATTTTGCATAATACAAGTTTATTTCTGTGGGGGTACATAACATATTTAGATCACAACGTTACCCTTTATTGATTTAAAAATGCTATATTCACCAAAAACAACAAATTAACATTCTTTTTTGACTTTCTGTGTTTCCCCTCTCTTTGCTCCCCACACTAAGTCACTCCCCCTTCTGAGCGCCCTCACAACACAGTCAGCGCACATCCTGCTAATAAAACTCCTGAACATCACATCAGGTTTGTCAAGTTGTTGTGCACAGTTTTGTATCATACTTTTGTGTATTTATGGGAGAATTGCCAACCATAAAGGAGGGCTTGAGTAGGGCCCACAGTAGATCGCTAAATTACTGAAACATGCATGAATGACATCTAAAACCTTCTCAGGCATGTTTCTGACATTACGGTAGAAAGCTCATTGCACATGTTTTCATGCTATGTAAAACAATCCAATTCCTTATATTTAACGTGGAAAGTTTCTCTGAATTGCTAAATATTGTTTGGGAAGTCCTCAGATGGTTAGAAGTTTCCACTAGGGCAGACTGTGGGTGAAAATGCAATCTCCACACAGGAAAAACTGTCTAGAAATTGAATCTAAAATCTTATTCTAGTGACGCAGAAAGTCTTTGCTGCTATGCCACCCAAAATATTAGAAGTATCTGTCTAATATTGCCACTAGCATGCACTGTGTTTGAAACATCAGTAACTTCAATATGGAAAAGATGAGACCACACATAGGCCTATATTTACTCCTCTATTTTTGGAGATGCTCTGGGGTTCTGAGCTGGGGTTGCGAAACTTGGAAGATATAAACAATTATGACTGTACTTAATCCATTTATGACTTAATAACAGTGTATTTTAATTAAATTAGGTCAAACATTGCAATAAATTGTTAAAATATTTATTTTTAGCTGGGAGTCCTGAGTCAGGACGGTTGAGTCAGCATGGTTATGCTGAGAAGTTTGAGACCCCAGTTCTACATCTCCCCATCCACTGATTTTGCAATGGCTTTAATATCGATGGACCCATATAACGCAATTTTCTGATCTATATTATGCTGTTTCCTCATAACAAAGTACCTGTAGTTGCGTTTTGCTTCATTCACACATGTTCAACAGGCAAACCCTGCATATTTAGGCTGAAATCTTCTTTCAAGCTGAAAACATTTGTGATGTCATGTGGTAATACAGGGAGTGCTCCACTGTGTTTCTACCGAACCAAATGTAAAAGGAACTGTCAAGCTTGAAAACTACTGCTTCATAACATCACAAGCTGAAAACTGAACATTTTGAGCTTTGAAGATGTAGACAAATAATAAAGAATTATTCAAACATGTGTCAATGAGACAAAATGCAACTTCAGGTATGTTATGATGAGGTAACAGCATTATAATGTGGTTTAAAATTTTGTGTACAACTGTAACAAACAATACATATCATTGCTTATTTCTGTCCCCATAGAAAAGCAGTCATCCTCCTTACATACCTTTGGGGCTGATTTTGCGGACCTCCTCCACATAGTCCTTGGTGCGGTAGTCGATGGGGTGTGTGACTCCGGCCTCAGTGAGAGCTTCATGTTTAGAGGCCGACGCTGTTCCAAACACAGTCACTTCACTCACTGTTTTACACAGCTGTGTGGCTGCGGTGCCCACGCCACCTGAAGACAGAGGGAGAGAGAGAGACTAAAGTTTAATATAAAGGCATTCCTATTGATACAATACAAAAAAACTGGTATAAGACACATATGGTAAAATGGTTTAATATGGTTCCAGTGCAAGGCAAAGAAATATATTTATACATTCAGGAAAACAGGGAAATGTCTGTTAGCATAAGGAAACAAGATGTGAACTTAAATGTGCATTGTGTAACTTTTCTGGTAGAGATATCATTGCTCTGCCAGGATATTTTCACAGCATGACATTAAACCGCATTAAATTACATTTATTCAACTGCAGGTGGTTTTATATCTCTAAAATACAAAGACAGACAGGCATTCTGACTGTAAATGGGGTTGCCTTTCCACAGATCTGACCTGAACTTTGTCTTTTTTGGTCTCCATGACGATAGAAAGGATCAATACCATATTATGAAACATTTATTTTTTGCCAGTTTCATTATTCAACACCATTTCTTTTCAGCAGTGATGAAGTGAGTTTAATGTGATGGCTTTTGGCTAATAATAAATGTTAAGTGAGTTCATTTGTTTATCAGTTTCTATGGTGATGCCCACAGCGTAGTGATATTAAAACATTAACTGTTGCACGAACTACCTGTGGGGTTATTCAAACATAATGGGAGTTCATTTTACCAGGGTCATTTTTTATGACACATTAATGTGCATTGATACAAGACTTGTGTATTAGTGCCTTCATGAAAAACAGTGAAATATATTTTACTTGACTATTTTGAAAACTGGAGCAGTGCAGATAATATGAAATCTGTGTTATGGCTAGTAGTGGACAAAATGGCCTAATCACAGTCCAATAATGAGTTTAATATCGCAGACCTTTGTGTTGTGCAGTATTGTGAAGGTATAGTACCATCTTTTCACCAAAAATCTTGCCATGGGTCCTTTAAATTGATACATATGGAATTGTGACAAAACTTGTCACTGCATCCTTATTAAATGCAAATAATAACAATCAAATTTGTTAGCAGTACAGTCAACTGATTTTCAAACCCAATTTCTATAAAGTATTGATTCTGTAAAGTAACATTTTGCAAAAGACTTAATAAAAAATACACATAAAACATGTAATAAATTGCCATCATGCAGAGAACATGGCCTGACCCTATTCCCTGGATCTGTTTAAGTGTGAAAAACAGCAGCCCCATACATGACATGTGATAATCGAGTTTGAGTGTTGTGTTGGAGCAGGCATCTCGTCCTCCACGTCTCCTCTGTGCAGGTATATGGGCCTAAATGAGATTTACATAATCAAATGTCCCCAAGATGCCACTCATAACAGCAGCTGTTTATGAAGCAGAGACACAATCGCATTAGTCTCATACCTGCCTGGACCAACGCAAGAAAATACAACTGTGGAGAAAAGGCTATTGTGTGTGTATTGTGTGCAATATGTGGGATTCTACACAAGATCATCTGAAAATCAGACAGGTTTGAGAATGAACAGCACAGTTCTGAAAAAACATAGGTCTACAATCATTTTTGTAAATAAAAGGTAATTTGGGATGGGATTATCCTGGTAATCTGATGGTTTCTTTGTGTCAGATTTCCTCTAATCCCAATCAGCGTGTGTTTAATTCCCTGCACAGCTCATTTGGGTGTTTTTTTTTTTTCCCCATTCAAAAATTTAGTTTTCAGTCATTCACTATGGAAATGGCCCCTTTATCTCAGTTCCGAAATGCTTGGATTTGGACAAATAGCAGTATAAAATTAACTTTAGATTCCGAGACACTGTGCAAAATGCAAGAAAGTTAGTGCAAATCAGAATCATTCTATCAAACAAAAATTTAATATTGTCATTTTTACCAAGCAGTGAGAAGTTTGAATTCAAGTTCCTGTTCTTGCTCTCCATTTCTGGTACTCATGTAAATTTTCATATACATTTATTGATTTAATTCATGTTTTTATATGATTTTTCTGACAAGTTTTGCAATTAGACTTAGAATTTACATTTTAGTACTAGGATTCTAACATTTTAATCACCATAAATATCCAGAAAAATGGACAAAAGGTTGAAATAAGAACTGACAAACTGTTACAGGAATCACATTTCGGAACATGTTGCACATCTAAACTACAGAGTTAGCAGCTTTTATGCCAAAAAAATCAGGGCATTTTGTTGTTTGTGGAGGAAATTGTGATACTTTCCTACTTAATTTTGCAACCCTATCTGGCAACAAGCCCCAAACAGTTTGATATGTACTTCAAATATGTTTATCAGATTTTTAAAAGACCAGTAAATCATTCAACATTATTTAAATTAAACATTGATTTAAACACACTATTGAGGGCCATGCGTGCTTCAGTGGATGTTTGACATGACTGCGTCTGTGGCGGCGGCCATCTTGGTGCTGTTGAGTGTGTACATAGCTGTGTTGTGTTTGCAGAGGTAGTGGGAGCAGAGTAATAGGTGACTGATAAGCAGCAGTGGCTTGTTTGAAACTTGGGTTTTGCTCGAGGACTTGAAAACGGTAGGCGTCCATAAAGGTCACTCACACTTGGCCAAATAAACAGCGTGGCTTATCTGATACGGGGAAATACAACGGAATTACAGAGGCAGAAAAGCAGGGTTTGAAGACACAATATTACCACATATATTCTCAGAGGAGGCGCACACTCAGATACATGGCACTGTGTTGAAAGATTAAATTCACTGGCAAATAAAAAAACAGTAACTCAAGCAGGAGCAGAGCATGAACCAGAGACACGGGGAAACAGGTGCATAAGTAGTTTCCATGGGTTTTAGAATCATAAAAAAATAGTTGCCATAGCGATTAACAATTTAAAAACTAAATGAAACCGATGAATTAGGCAGTGTGACATAAATATGGAATAAGAAGTAAATATGTTGAGTACTGCTAAGAAGAAGAACATGGGGTATACTACAATGCAATACATACTAAGCTCAATTAAAAACAATAGTTCACAAATATATTTCCCTGTATTTAAAGCCACCATCTGTAAGTAGACACAGACAGAACATGCAAACTCCACATACAAAGGACCCATACAGCCTTGGAATCAAACCTTCAACCTGAGATAAAAGTACTAGCCACCCTCCAGTCAATTGCTGCAGCGTCTATTAAAGTTGTCAGAAGTATCAGTATTAGTATCTGATTTTTGACACTTCAGACAACTTTAATAGTCGCTGCAGCAATTCACTAGAGGGTGGCTAGTACTTTTATCTCAGGCTGAAGATTTGATTCCAAGGCTGATCAGATACTAATCAATACTAAAACTAGTAACAGAACTAGATACTCATTTGAGCAAGTATAAAAAAAAATAAAAAATCACATTCTATTGTCTAAAGAAATAGTGTTTTGCATTACTATCGTGGTATCAGAATCAGTATTGAGTATCATGTCAATTCATTAGTATCAAAATTGAGTTTGAAATTTTAGTATCATGACACAGTAGTGCACTTCTCTGTAATAAAGTTAAGCAAAGAGTGTACAATTCCATTCCAAAAGTGCAAAAATATACGCATGTCTTGGCTTCTTATCTTTCAAAATTAGATTACCAGTACATTTTGCAATACATTATAACAATTCAAATAAATAATAAAGGCATCTCTGTAGGAGCCAGTGGAGCAGTGAGAGCTGAGCTGTCACATAGACTTTGCAGTGAAGGGTAAAACAATAACTGAATGAACTGAACTCAATGAACTCCCTGTTCACATTTAACCAAGAAGGAAAGAAAAACACTATTCAGAAGAAAATCACAACAGAGGCACTTAGAATTCACAATCCTTTGCGCTTTACAAAAACAAATTTTTTATTTTTGTCTGTGGGACAAACTATTGATGCACAAGGGAAATTACTTGGGCAGTAGCTCACACATTACAATATAATAACAAAGAGCAAAAAAATAACGTGTGTTATTCAATTTTCTAAATAATTTAAAGTAGTAAAATAGCAGCACACTTATCAAATAAAGCAAAAATATTCAGATTAATGTAAAAGTAGCCTAAGATATAAAATGTATATAGACTATTCATAAAAGGTGGTGGGGTAAAGAGAAATCATGCAAGGATGAAATAGTGATTTGATATGACATAGGGTTATCTATTACATAAGGGTGAGTTTTTGTACAGTATGAGTTTGAGTTTGAGTTTGAGTTTGAGTTTGAGTTTGAGTTTGAGACTGAGATTGAGTTTGTGTATGAGTTTGCGTATGAGTATGAGTATGAGTATGAGCATGAGTATGAGTATGAGCATGAGTATGAGTATTACAGTACTCAAAATTGATTCTTGAGAGCTTATAATGTTGTTCCCTCCCCAAAAACATACCTGGAGTTGTGTTTTGTTTCAATCACACATTTGAGCAATCCTGATTTATTATTCTGTCTACATCTCCAAAGCTCAAAATGCTCTGTTCCACCCCGTGTTGTCATGAAGCAGTACTTTTTCAAGTTAATAGCTGCTTTTTTACCTTTTTATTCAGTATAGACTTGCAACTTCAAAGCTGAAATTATCCATATTATTCAAGTGAAGGTTTATGGAGTTTAAAACCACAGTGGAGCGCTTCCTGTATTACCACTTGATGACATCACATGGAGGAACAGAGTGTTTTGAGTTTGAGAGAAGAACTCAGCCTAAATATGCAGGGTTTGTGGGTTAAATATTTGTAAATGAAACAAAACACAACTCCAGGTCTGTTTGTGATGAGGTAACAACATTATAACATAGATCAGAAAATAGAGTAATATAACCCCTTTAAACTAAACTAAGACCCTAAACACTAAAGTGACCCAGACCATAACAGGAGGAGACTGCATACCTGACTTCCCTGTAAACCTCGTCAACGGCACTTGAAGCAGCCCGTAGCATGTTTTATAGTGAAATAACATGTTTTAATGATGCAGTGTTTTTCCATCGTAACATAAGTGAGATAAAAGGCCAGTGGAAGCGTGTGGGGATGACATTGACAGTGAGAGCTGAAAACAGAACCAAGCGCCAGTCTGTTGTTCTG